TAGCGTGAAAACGAGGTCGGCCATATTAACCTTATTTCGAGGGAAGGTGTTCTGATATAAATGGCCATATTTTAAAAGTGTAATGATTATTCCGTAATAGGTAGCCTATCCATGGCGTAGCCCTCTTCAGAAACTCAAAAGGATAGGCTATAGAAAAGGGGACAAACAATCTAATAATTGAACAATCAAATGTCAATGAATAGACATAGTTGGTAGTTGGATAATCGCATCTTAGAGTCATTAGTTCACATCCATCTTAAGGGAAGAATAAATTCTGATGCCACAACCTGCGCTTTCCATCTTTCAACCCATCCACCTTTTTTAAGGCCTGTTTTGTAGTTAATAAGGACATTGGTGCCGTTGCTCTTTTTGTCATACTCACACGTGACAAACTATGTTGTAATTTTATGCTGCTGAACCTTTATCACGTGACAGGCTGATCGTAACTCCGGGAGTTAGAGAGTTTCCGAGGCATTAAAAAATAACAATTGACAATTTCAATAAAATTTATTTAAACTAATTAAAGTTTAATTCTAGTCCTTTTTATCGCGGATCTTACTTCCAATTGATTAATCTTCAAACTGGTTGCTGGTTTCAGTTTGGGTAATCCAGTACTTCGTCTATTTGATGATCAAGCTATTTCTGTCTGGATGCCCTAGTCTTGGTCGCCCAGTGTGTGTACCAGCCTAATGAGGGGACTAAACTAAAGGTTTCGGTCATTACTAGTCGCTTTGCCTATGTTTCGTTGACAAATTGGTAAAGCGTGAATTATTCGAGTAATAACGGATGATATCTCACCTTTGTTCAATTTAATGAGCGGTTTTCGCCCTAAATGAGTGAAATAAAATCAAAAGGGATGTAGAAATTGTCTATTGGACTGTTGAAAATAATGTACAGAAACATGAGACTAGAATATCGATCACAAAATTGCAATGCCAATTTCATTTTTAACTTGTAGAGTAAAATAATCCTGATATTGTATTATATATTATAAAGCGAATGGTCATACCACGGAGTATGTTTTTACCATTGTTAGTCCATGGACTATAGAATTGACTTAGTTTCAAAATGACCAAAATGGATCTTTTTTCTTAATGATCGAGGGTGTTTAAAAGTGGCATTTAATGAAATAATGAAAATCTTTAGGTAAAATGTCCCTGGTAAAGATTAGAGAACAGGCAACAAAAAACGACGCCTACATTAAATGAAGTAAAAACCTAACAATGCCCTATTTCCGGGTGTCGCGTGAATATCACTCAATATAAACAGCTTGAAACTAACTTTTTAACAAAAGACAACAAATGAACTTATCTACAAAACTCGGACATAAAAATAAGATTTTAATAACAAGGGATTGTTCCACGAGTTTTCGGTTTACCAGTCATCCCCAGGTAGTTAATTTTCAATAAAACACCTGTAGTTCAAGACTAGACCACACGTATTTTGAACACAAGCAGATAAAAGACTTGTTAGTAAAAAAATGATTTAACGACAATTTTACGACGGACACAAATAAGTTCTGACGAGCTCGTAAATTGCTTTGTGTTTTCAACCCAACAAAAACTCAATTAGAACCAAATTACGGTGATTCGAAGTTTATTACAAATTTAGTGCTAGATCTTTCTTTACCGAGACGAAAAGTCTGTTTTATTACAGATCATATTTTCGTTTCGATTTTAGAATATAAGTTTATGATTTTTAAATAGCCATGATTTTTTGATATGATATTGTTGACATGATATGATTGGGTTTGTTGATATCGTGATTTAAAAGTTAATCAAGTTTATTTATATACAATGGGGTGGACATGTTCTAAGCTAATTAATTGTCCGAGGTGACCTTCCTTCTATTTCTACTAATAACAACTTTCATTTTTAACGATTAAACAACCATGTCTTTTTGTGCTGGGCTAAAATGACTACAATCCATATCACGTGAGAGAAATATTGAATTGTACGCAACATGTCAGCAATATACATTGTCTTCATCAGGTGTTGTTAGATGTTTTTCTTTTCTCTTTTGTTTAGGTTAAAGACATGTATAATTGTGCTGAGAAAATGTCAAGTGTACACTATTCTTATTCCAAGACCTTTCTCTAATCAAACATTTCTTCATTTACATTTAAAAACTAAAATCCATTTTAAATTTTTGCTGGTATCAAAGAAGTCTGTTTATGTTCATTATACTTTAAGTCGTTTCAAAATTTGAATAATTGTTAGCGGAAGTAAACTGTGTTTTAAAGACCGGGTCTAATCAACCGGAAGTTCCAAAGTGTTTCGTCTCAGAATTTTTAAGAAGCCGAGACTTTTGATGTAATTTTACGAGATTTTTGGTTAATTTTAAAACCTTAGGGTAGCTGATATAAAAATGTATTTAACATATGTTTGATGCACGTGCATGAAGAGGTAGAATATTGAAAAGTTTTATAGTTTAGGTGTTAATAGCAAATCCCTTGTGTGAGTACAATGGCGGGAGTTTATAGCATTCTACCTGAATTGAATCACGAGCTAATAATCTTTTGATCTTTTAATTATACCGACTTCTCTTTTAGCCTCGATCATACAGTAGTATACATAACCTTTACATCGAGCTTTGGATCAGTGGGACTCAATGATCAAAGCTACTCAATAAAATTTAATTATTGTGTATTAAATCTCACAATAGGCCATCAGTATCACGAGAAAAGACGAGACCCAATTTATCACTAGAAGGTATGAAAATAGTTAAAAATATTCAACAAAGCGTGAACTTATATTCTAATTGGGGATGAAATGAAGAAGAAATTCAAAATGAAATCTGGCTTTGGTTCGTTTGACATTCTTAGTGCAAATAAACATAAATTGTAAATTGTAAACAAATTAAAAGGTGCAGAATCTTTCCATTATTTTGATTGAAATCTTTGACCTTGTGCAAATAATATATAAAAATACCTCTGAGTCACTTCCCAGGTATTTTACTATTATATTTTATAGGGTTATTATCAGTAATTTGAGATAATCCAGGTTCCTTTTAAGGTGAATATTTGATTTGAAGAGTACAGTCATTGAAGAAAGTTATACTTATCTGACTCTCTTTTAGATTGTACCTTGGTGACAGTTAAATGCCATTTACCTTCATTCTTGGCAGCATAGTATGATTATTGATTGTGTATATGTAACGAGAAGGTAACAGAACTGGTCCAATGGAATTCGTCTGCGGTCAAAAAAGTTTATGGAGTTGTCTCATCAAAGACTTTTTTAAAAAAGAGATTCGGAAATAAATGTTGGTCATAACAGGGATTCTTTAATGTGGGCAGAATTATTTTAAAAAATTATACGAGTTTCGTTATACAGTGGGAGTGATTTTAATATGATTTTAGCCTTTTTGGTGTATTTACCAAATACAATACTCAATAAATAAAACTTTGAAATTACAGCTTCAAACATTTTATAAGGGGCTATTTATACGGACAGATTGTATATATTTTAATTACCTCCCTTACATTCCTTAGTGTACTAAACATTAATTCATTTTCCCTTCCTTTTTTCTCTACTTTTAAAGACAGAGAGATACACACAGGAGGTTTCTAGCAATAACAACGTTATCCGTGCGCTATATTCCTCATAATTATCCCGTTGCATTTTTGCAAAAATTTCAGACGTGTGCTTTATAAATATAATAATAAAAGAGTTTTTGAAACAGTTCCTTTCACATTTAATAAGAATTTGGTATTGACTTGAAGTAGCTTCGCTCCAAAAAGGACGTATCACAATGTTTTCTTGAGTTGTCTGCAAAATGCACCACGTGTTTCAATATTAGAGCCCCCCTCCCCTCCTCCCTCCCTCCCTCAGTATAATCCATAATATAGGGACAAAAACTAAAGTGTTTCAGAACAGGTATTTATTTAAGTTTCTCTCTGAGTATTTAATAATTTGCCTTATTGAGGGTAATATTTCAGCAGATTGCACAAAATACCTTCGTAAAAATTATCCATTTATTTTGTCGCATTTCTTAAATTTATTCAGGCAATAAAGCCCGATTTGTTCAGGGTGGCTGTTCAGGGTGACTTGTTCTATGCTCGGAGCCCAATGGTGAAGGCATGATCAGTTAATGTGTCAAACTAAAGGCAGCTCTAGACCTATAATAGTTATGTTTACTCGAGAATCATGAAATTACACCCAATAATCAATCAAACAAATCAAAACACATTTTACGCAGTTTATTATTTTAAATCTCTTTACATTTCTTATAATTTAATTGCATCAAAACTGTTTCAAACAAACATTGCTCAAGGCTAATAAAATAACAAATGCAATTAACAATTTTTGTATTGAAATAATGTCTTCATTCAGTTCAGCATTTATGACTTTAGGACACGTTTTGATATGTCGAATGATGTCTTCTGTAAAACTAGACGATCTTTTGTTTCCAATCCAATATTTACATATATTATACACAGTTGAATTCTGAATTCAGCACAGTTGATTCACAGCCTATCGACTCTGATTACTATATACAATATGCACCATTTGATTATTGAATAATTGTCTTTTTTAAAACTAAGATAGACTTATCTCCCTTCTCTTGGCTGGTGGAGAGGATGTAGGTGACGCTGTACTAGATATGGCATGCGCAGATATCGTATGGGGTCCTAATGATGGCGAATGACAAGGACATGGTTTATTCGCCAACGCGACGCTAGCTGAGTGTTCATGAAGCCCTAAAGTATTCATTGCACCAAAATTTAAGGCATAACTTAAGGAATGTGCTGCCATGGGCGATAACCCTTCTAAACCAGTAGGTTTGTGGAACGCAGTTGACATCGAACTCAGAAGATCTGGTCGAGGATGCATCGCTGGAAACGGAAATGGAGATATAGGTGACGTCTGTCCCGCCATTACTGCTGGATGACTCAATGGTGAACTTCCGTTCATCCCATATGGATAAGAAGCAGCGGCTGCAGCAAGATAAGCGTATAAATGTGGATCTGGGGGAATACCATAAGGCCAAGCCATGGCCATTCGTTGTCTTTTATCTTTCATACGACGATTCTGAAACCACACCTGAAATTATAAATAACATTCTATAAGTACAAATGTACAAGTACAAGTGTTTTCAGTCAAATCTAGACGATCCCTTATGTTCCAAATGAGCTTCTAGGGACAATACTGATCCTGTTATTTCAAAAGGGGCCAGGTACAAAATTGATTCCCAGTTTTGTCACTGGAAGTGAAGAAGTTGTGACTCACCTTGATGGTGCTCTCTGATAAACCCATGGCAGCTGCTAGTTCACATCGTTTAGGCCTGGAGATATAGTTCTCCTTGGCAAACTCCTTCTCTAGCTTACTGATTTGTTCTCTGGTGAAGGCTGTACGGTATCGTCTTACATTGTTATAGTCGTTACATTCTGAAATATAACAAATACATCTATATTAAAACATGTAATAGTTATAGGACTTTCATTGGATGAATCTCAAAAACTTAAAAGGACAGCATCTTTTTTTACAACCTCTCTGAAGCCATTCAGGAACTGCCGACAGAACATTTGACATGGCAGCAATGGAATTGGAACAGGATTCCGATTTTGCCCCCAGTGTATATTAGGTATATGATACTACAGATGTTTCGATTTGCACATTAACTAATCAGAAACCTCAGTTCGATTGGGTGACGGATGGTTCTCACGATAGTCGTGAATAATTAAACAATATTATAGGTTAATATAATCTCACTTTATAGCCAATCAAACAGCAATAAACTTAGGATCCCCGATGGTTTGACCATTCATAAATAAGTTAATTTAATTCAAATAAAATTACAAAGTGGTTGAGATCCAAAAACGGGCCTAATTCAATTTATTTCAAAATTCTTATTATGTTTTTGTGTTTACAAAAGTGTCATTTACCCGAAACCCCCTCAAAATAAATCAATTTGTTGTCATTTGATTCAAAAATATGTGCACCTGATAACCTAGGGAAGGTCAATTAGTAAAGATTTGATATGATTTAATATTCTTGAAAAATAAGAAGTCATTCTTTTCATTCAAGATTTCAATTTTATCAATAATTATGATCCTTATTACGCCTTTATTTTATCGGATTGTTTGTGTTTATCTCTATTCAGTTAAGAACAGAACGATTTCATATCCAGTTATAGTTTATAGTTATATTTATAAATAATTTATCGATTTGTTTTTCTGGTTTTCTTTAATATTGTTTTATCGAGGTTTAATAGGAGTCGTTTAGTTCTGATTCATTTCAAAATCAATGACGTTATAGTTTCAATATGGCTGAACAAATTAGTACTTATCGGCCGATTCAAACCTTTATACATAGTTTAATAGCTTATACAGGAAATACTGGTTCATAATATCTGTACCCAGCCACCCAAAATATCCTTTCTAGAGACCCACCCACACCTGGCAAAAGTCAATTATTAAACTATACCAATTACTAATTATCCAGGTATTCTTATCACGAGGACCTCAGAGAGAGCATGTATTCTCTGGACGTCAACTATTTTGTAGTTGTTTCAATAGACTTCTCGAATCAAGGGTTGAGAATAAAACAAGACTTGACCCATGAAATCATCAAAACTGACCGAACCTACTTAAATTTGGCCATGACAAATTCGTGAACGTTTTTTGTGATTTTGACATTGAAGAGCAGTGATCAAGGGAAGTAACCAAGCATTAAGAGTAATAATCGTTTTGTGTTTTTTATTGTATTTGGTTGAATGGAAACTTTGTTAATTTGTGTATATCTCGAGATCAAATAATGACAGTATATTGAATATAATAATCATAGTATTTAATAGGATACAAATGACAATAATCTTAATAATCCACCTTTAAAGATGAGAATAATAGTCGTGAATGGATATAATAAACTCTTTCTCTCAAAATAACAGAATACAGTACAAATCTCTAAGTGGGAACTTTCGATTTTCTCTTTGACAGAATGGACTCGGTTTGAATAGTATAATTTGTAAATCGGACATCGTATGATTTATGTCAAGAAATTGTCTGAATAGCCACAAGGAGTAAACGTCGTGGGGTCAAGTCTGCACCACAAGAAGTTAAAAAAAGTCTAAGTGTAAACGAGTCCAAGCAATTGACAAAATGGTTTCCTAAATATGGCCCTAAAATACAAATCATTATAAATATTTGCCAATACCCAACCTACTGATTTGTTCAGTGGTTAAAACGAAATGTGAAAGTTCACCTAAAAGTACTTATCAATAATCGTGACAGAGCAGTTAAACTAAATTACATGTGTTAACCGCAAAACTTAAAAAAAACCACTTGGCTCCTGGGTGACTTACGGTTACATGTTTTTCTATTCACTGGATGAATTACATATTAGCCTAAATTAACTTCTTAACCGTATCAAATCAACCTGAAAACCATAGAAAACTGAAGATCGACATCAGTTTGTATATAAGTCTTTGATGAATATTGCGACGTCTTTAGAAATCGTAGGGTCGTCTTTTTAGGTACAATTTTTACGATTTTGGGTTGATAATGAATTATTGAAATAATGATATTCTCTTGGTTTTGAATAAAAAAGGGGTGATATGTACTTGGATAACATGAACTTGTTAACCTCCATTTCTTAATAATATTAGGCGGAGTTATATTGTATCTTTATCGGTGTATATTCGACTACCAATTACTTCTGGCTTTAACCATTATTTAAGCTTTTCTTTTAAGTGATAATTACAAAATTCTTTATTACTGAGCTCACTAGTTTTATAACAAATCTATAAGTTCTCATTAATTTTACCAAAAAATGAAACGTAATGTATTATGTTGCACCAACACCAATACGGGATATATAGCACATTAATTTTACTAAAGATCACGAGATTAATTTGAATTCATTAAAAAAAACTAACCCCAATATTTTGTAATGATAATGCTATTCCTTTATTTTGTACTTTAATTAATTGGTATGGCTTTTCAATTTTCCAACCAGAAAATGTAAATTTCTTAGTCTTTGATCCATGGAAATAATTAATTGATATGTCTAAAACTTAAAAAAAATAAGCTCGCGAAATAATATATATATAGTTTATTACCAAATCTTCACAAATCACGGATATTGTCTATCCTGACAAATATAATTTTTATTATTATATTTATGATAAATTGGCGTTTCTATAAATATTTGTCATTTATTGGCTTTGATGTTGTCTTTTGTGTTTATTTTCATTTCCATCATTATTCATTTTGATGCTTATTTATTTGGGACATAATGCAACTGTTTATTTCGACTTTGAAATCTAGTTGATTTTGATATATTTATGAAGACAGGTAATACGTTTCCTACGAATTCAAAAACTTGAATTTTCTTAAATATAATATTAAGATTTAATTGTTGTACATTTATTTGGTAATTATTTTAGACGAACAAAGTTGTATTGTCAAGAATAAAATTATTTTTATTCATTTTGTTGATTTGTATTGTTAGAAGGCTTTAAATGCCCAATTAAGAAATTAAACGTTCATGCGCACTGTTTTTGATTCAACAAATTTAAAAATAATATTTTTTCATAACTAAATTATAATAGTTTAAACCAGAAAGATTACAAAAAATAGAATAAGTTCTATTCAAAAATCAAATTTTCAAATCTTAGTTTTTTTTCGTGCCCTTTTTTGACTTTCATTACAGTACTCCTAAATAATATGATAATTTTATTCCCAAAATTGATTAAAAAAAAAAAAAGAAAAAAGGAGAATGGAATTAGAGTGATATTTAATACTAAATTTCCGTTATAAATCAGACGGATTTTATCACATTTG